CACACCCTTGATGGCCAAATACCCTACCAATACCAAATGGGAGGAGCAAGCTAACTCAGTTGGTTGGGACCAAGACTGCCGCACGCTGTCAGTGTGGATTGAACCCACGACCTCCTGAATGCCGCTTGCATGCCTAACCAACTGAGCTAGGCCGCTTGCGCGGCTTTCCTGTTTTGGAGTAAGGGTGCACGAAGTCGTGACGGGCGAGGCGCCGTCTGGGGGTTCCGTTCGGGATCCGTTGGTTGGGTTGGGTTGGGTTGGGTTGGGTGGGTTGGATTGGACGTCGCTGGGCGCAGGGGTGAGGTTGTCATTGGAGATGATGTTGGTATTCGGTTCTGCACGGGTTGATGGGGAGAGGCGATGGTGTGTAGAGCGCGAGCGGCGCACGGGGGGAGGGGCGGCGGGGGCAGTCGTGGGCATTGCAGTCGAGGCGGTTGATGAAGGGGTTGGCGGTAAGCCACGGAAGCGTGAGGAGGAGAACAAAAACAAGAGGAAGACGAAGAGGAAGACGGACAAAAGAATGCACAACAAAGAATGGGACGATCTCATTTCTAGGTAGAAGAAAAACAGAAAAAAGAGAGAAAAAGCGAAAAAGAAGAGAAAATGGAGGGAGTCATGGGCAATGCAGCTGGAGCGGTTGATGAAGCGGTTGACCCCGAGCCACAGAAGCGCGAGGACGGCAACAAGAAGAGCAAGACGAAGAGGCGAATGACAAGAGAGAGAACAACAAACAGCGGGACCAAAAAAAAAAAAAAAAAAAAGAAAAGAAGAAGAAGCTAGGGAGGGAGCGGGGCATCGATGCAGTCAGTAGTATATAACGCTCTCCCTGGCTGATGAGCAGGCCGGGGAAGGAAGTCGCGTGTATTGCAGACAGACGCCCTCGAATATCTCGGTGTATCTGCGGGCCACATTGCAGCGGGGGCGTGTTGAGCTGACCTGAAAGGTATATGCATGCTTTACACACGCAACCACCACCACCACCATCATCGTCATCATCATCGTCATCATCATCGCCATCGCTGCTTCCTCCGTCACCTGCTATCCGTCACGTGCCTCCTCTGGACCTCTGCTCTCTTTGCTTCGTTATTGACATGCATCTGGTTACGTAACCAGATCATGTTCATCTATTTCTATTCTCCTTGTGATGACGACTCCTCTGCGCTTTCGTGTACTTGCTTCTTATTTCCTTCGTCTACCGTGTTTCGTGTTTGCTCTGTCGTTACTTGCTTGTATCCCACATCATCATCATCATCACCTTCGTCATCACACTACTTCCTCCTGCGTCAGGTAAACCAGATCGACGAACGCTTGAAATCATTATGCCTTCCGAACTTCGTCAATGAACAAATAAGTGGTGTACCAGCAGTTACACAACGATTTTTTATTACTATGATTATTATTTATTTATGATTATTATAATTATTATTTTTGTCACTTTTACTTTTTTGTTATGTAGTAATCTTATTGGCATGATTCCTTATAGTTTTACAGTGACAAGTCAGTTTGTGGTCACCTTTGGTCTGTCCTTTGTGTACCGTGTCCCTTTTTTTTTCTTTTTTTCTTTTTTCGCTCGTCTCTTATGCGATCGACGTAGCAAGCGGCAGAATCCTCCAATGATCATAGCTGTATCCCGACTGTTACCCTCCAATGATCATACCTGTATCCCGACTGTAAGTAGGCTCAAATAGCATGAAAACGACTAGCCGTTGTAGGGGGGGGCGCGGTTAAAGACCGTTGTTATTTCAATCTGTTTGTCAAGCCCGGTCTTCGACATGGCATTTGCACGTGCTGTCTGTTTTTCTCTTGTTTAGTTCTCTTTTTTCTATGAGATATGCACGGGATGCACTCCGATTCTGTCGAAAAGCCCACCTCTTTGACAAGGAGGACGTCAGAGAAAGAGAAGAGATGAACTAAGTTTTCCCATGAAAAGAGAGAAAAAAAATAAGCATAATCACGTCGGTGTACCTCTTTCCGTCGGTTCCCCTCCACTTGCTGCAGCAGCGATAACGAAAACAGCAAACACACTAGCCATGGCGATCGAACGCGATTCCATGAATCTGCAACCTGCTGTGCCGTGCAGCGAATGAACGAGGTGCCCACCCTCCACGTGTCCCACTCTGGTTGCAAAGAGTCGATTGTCGGCCTAGACGCCAGGAAGAGCCATTCCAGCGCAGCAGCAGCAATTGAGCGGGGAGGGATCCCGGTGATGATGATGTCACCAATCGCAACCGCTGCTGCGACAGACAGTATCGCTGCCTTCCTTCCAGATTTCAACCTCAAATCTATGCTTCCGTTCTCACTGTCGACTGTCTTTCGTTTAGGGGGAAAAAAAAAAAAAAGAATAGGAAGAAGAAGAGAGAGGGGGGGGGGGGCAAGGGGAAACGGAAGGAGATTAGTTTGAAAGGGAGAAAAATGCGATCTCCTCATCTTGTGTGTGCTGGCCTTAAACACTGCTGGCTGTTTCTTGATTGGTATGGGGAAGTAGATGAAGGTGCAGCTATTAGACAAAGCTTTTTAACCGCCTCTCCATGGCAGTTGGTACTGTACTGGGCTAATCCCCAGAAACCTGTGTGATTAGGCCTGATACAGTCCCAACTGCCATGGAGAGGCGGTCGGTATCAGCCCAGTCACGTGTATCAGGCCAATCAACGATTTGTTATTCTCCTCCTCACAGTCATCATCCCCAAATTCGCTTTTGTAAGTTTTTTCCTCAACGAGCCTGTGTGATTGGCCAGTATGACGATGACGTAGTGAGCTGCCATTCACCATTCACTTTACCGTACTGCATACTATTTTTTGTTCTTTTTTTTTTTTTTTTTTTTTGAACTATTTTTTGTTCTTAAGTTGTGTGTGTGATTTGCAATGAATAATGATGATGTTGGGCTAGTGTGAGGATGACCACAATGTTGATACATGGTCGTTTCTCCTCGCATTCGACGGGGTGGCAGATGTGCAGTGCAGATGTTTTGTTATTCTTCTGATGCTTGGTATAGCATCTTTTTTGCACATCGTTGTCTTTGCGTGTTTGCAGGGTCCTGACCGGGCTGGGGACACACAGGCATTCATTGTTGGGGGGGCTCTTGGCTGTCCATCCATGCATGGTTGTACCCCCCTT